AGGGACTATCGGTGCCCATCTTCGGGTTGCCTTGCTCTCAGTGCAGAGCGGAGGCAGATGAGATGGAATGGAGTGTTTGGTGATCGAACTTGGATCCTCTCCCCTCTAGGTCCGACCTTATCCCTTATATAACAAGATAGGTTGGGTACATGGTGGTTTGGGGGTTCTAGTCTATGGTCTACATGCGCTGGAGTCTAGGAGGGCCTTGCAGCGGTGCGCCATGGATTATCGAGGTGTCTTGGAGCCGAAAAAGCCTAGGCGTCGTCCATCTGCTCTATTCTGACACTCTACGTGCCAGACGGTGTCAGCTTGGACCGGCCTCCCCCGCGTGAGATCTTCTGGAGTCTTCTTGGTGGCGAAGGAGGTCAGCTCCAGGGGCTGACGCGCGGGCCCGAAAGCCCCCGAGCCCCCAGAGGCCGTGGGAAGCTTTGTCTTCTTATGTCACGCCCCGGACATGACCCTATCAGAGGAGCGGTTGGCAGGGGCATGCCTAGGGAGCGATGTCAAGGAGCCCTCAAGCATTGATAGCCCAGGGCTTATCTTCTTGTGCCCGGGCCTTGGCTGGCATCGTTAGCCGGGCAGGAGCCAAGGGCCGGGCCCGAAGGTGCCGTAGATCGGATGCCCAAGGCTCGAAGAAGCCCCCGAGCCCTAGGCAGAAGCTACGGTCGAGTCAGGCTCGGCTGGATCTCTTTGCCAGAGGGTGGGCGAGAGCGTGCCCGATGAGCATAGCCCTCGAGCCCCCGGGCGATCCTGAAGGAGTCGGTCGGGGGGTCTTCTTCGTTCGAGAACCATTGGACCCGAGGCTTAACATACCTATATGTTAGGATCTCGTCAGGTGGCCTCCTCCTTTTATAGCTCAAGTAGGATGGTTTGCTGAGGTATTTTAGGAAAGCCCCACCACAACCGACCTCAGGAGGATTAATGTTACCGCCCTGCCGAAGGTGGGCCCGAGGGGCACCGGTGGCGGTGCGGGTGCGGCCGCCTCGACACCCTCTTCGCCTAGTGGTTTACTTGATGGCCCTGGAGTGTAGCCACGTCGGTGTTCGGCCCAAGTTTGCAAGGTAAGTGGGCCTTCCTTCTATTTGCTTGAGTGGATCTGTGTTACGCTTTCTCTATTTGCGCATTTTGACTGTTTTCCATATGTATTCCATGTATGTGTCCTGCAAATGCACAAGTCACCAAAACCTATGGAAATCATTAGTTTAAAGCCCTATTACTAGGTTTGGTTTTCATTTGAGTGAATTTTATATGGATGTTGGCGGTTAAAATTATGAGTTAAGGACCGCCAACAATATGTTTGAGAAATACATATCTAGATAAAGTTGTATGTAAAAAGGCACAAAGAATTATAACTTGCCATATATTTGTTCATCCCTGTCATTCACCACCAACACTCATACTATAGACAATCAAGTGGCCTACATATAAACAAGATGCAAGCAATTGGGCGCACATGGGCTGAATATAAATCTTTTTCCAAATGGCCCAAGAGGGGAGGGGCGTGGTGAATTGGGGTCTAAAAATTAAGTGCAAACAAACCTTAGTCTATGCAATTCTACTGAACCACTTGCACGGAGATTCCTAAGACTATAAAAGATCACACTAATGAGAAGTCCTTAGGGCCATGAAGCTAATCATGTCCTTAGTAAGGTTCACACTAAGAATAAGGTCCTTAGTTGTGGAAGATAAATCTAAAGCTAAGTGCACTCTATCTTGGAATCCTAGTTTTCACACAATTAAACTTGCACAAAACAAAACTAAAGCACAAAGCTAAGACATGAAAGTAATGCAAGAGTGAAAGGAAGGTAAAGTGACAACCAAATTTTGCGCCCCTCCTATCCACATTGAAGCATATAATCCACAACCCCCTAATCTATGTTGGAGCACCGAAGAGTCACCAAAAATTAGTTTTGTCCCCTCATTGAGTCACAAAGCCTTAAAGCTCCACTAGTGAATGCCCCTTCTCCACTCCGGAATGGTAGGTCAAACCATGAACACCAATCGGAGCCTCCCCATAAGAAACTTCATAGGGAAGGTCACCTAATCCTTCGTCAGGCTGTCTAGGTGCTAGAAAACACCAAGAGTGACAAACCTTCAATATCTTCTTGATGAAAATCTAAGTCGAGAAGACTAGGTAAACACTAAGAACACTCTCCCATCTTGCATTTTAGGCTTTGATGGCCCTCACAGACTTCATAAGTCCCTCTATATGTGCCACCATATGATTCATCGGTGAACACATCCATGCTCCAATGTGGTGAACCTGGTGGTTTTGGTGATTGATTAACACAAGTGTTGTGAAATAACATGTGCTTTGCTTCAGAATACACATTTGAGTTCGCAAAGCAACAAGTGTCTTAGGCCCAAAGATTTGGATTGATGATTGAGGTATGGCACAAGGGATATTCTTGAGGACCAAGGACACTATAAAGCGAATGTAGACCAAAACGTGTGTTGAGACATTCATTGTAATGTGCATTATATTTTTTTTTGGTCGTACTATATTAAGGAGTTCTAATGCATTCATCTTGATGGAGTCGAAGAAAGAGCACGTGGATGATGATGATTGACGATAACAGAACCCTATAGACATTCATACTAGAGAATTTTGTCCACAGGACACTCATAAAGAGTGGATTTGCGTGTAGCACACTGTACTCATTGAATTAGTCACAAACACACTACAAAAGCATTGTTTTTGTCCACAACACACCACACCCAGTTAAAGGACCATCTTGCCCTTCACTCTTTCCCCGGTCCTCCCCTTCCACTCATTTCTCAAGAATAGATTTCTTTTGATCCATCTACAACTGTGCTAGGTATTATGTTAGTGGGCTGAGAAGTTTTGTTGATTAAACTTTATCAAAATTTTCTTTGTCACTTTCCTCAAATTTTTTTTTGTTAATCACGAATTGGTGTTATGTAGGAAACAAGCGCCTCAGGAAAATGATCACCTATGCACACCAATAGAACAGGCCACATCAAATCTTTAGATTGATAAATCTCTTTCATCCAAGTTGAGCTGTTGTCTTTATTTTTTAAGTGTAAATTAGACTATTATTTTCAAAGGTGACAAGCATTCCAGTCAAGAACAACTCGAAGCCTTGTAAAATCTGTGTGCTGCTCATACGTTTTATACTCTCCTTCTCCACTTATAAATACAAGCCGATGATGGATCTTTTGATGAAAAAAATAGAACAGTGACTTCTTGTTAAGTCGGACTGCAGTAGCAACAGCGTGCCGCCCTCAATTGGAATCAAGAGTTCTTGCTGACGTACTGTACTACTCAACAGTAAAAGAGAGATCACATGCCTGGTCGAAGTCAATACAATTGTTGGCTGCGGGAGGAGAAAAGAAGACTAGTAGAGGGAGAAATGCGAAGGGGATGGATAGTGGGCCCATGGGCTAGCTGGTTATTTTATTTGCTTTGGTGTGTTGGAGGCAAAATGCACAAAATCACGATGTCCAGCGGACAAAATTGACGAATTGAGTGTGCTGCACATAAATCCACTCTTTATGAGTGTCCTGTGGACAAAATTCTCTTCATACTATACATACTAAGTTAGTGTTTGGTGCAGCGGGGGTGCTCTAGCTGTAAATGTAGCGTAACTGTAGCGCAACTGCAGCGGAGCCAGGAGGACCCTTCAAACTGCAGCTCCTCTAGCTCCTCTCTTCCCTGTGCCGGAGCCGGAGCTTTTTTTTCCCGCTGCGGTAATATAAGGACAACACAACACAATGCTCATCAGTGATAAAGGAGCCGAAGCCGGAGCTTGTTTGAACGCAAACAAACGGCCACAAAATGTGATCTTGAAAAAAAAGTAAAAAAGAATCCCAATAGCAGGGGCGGATCTACAGTAGGTGCATGGGGGTACAGCTGCCCCCCTAAAATTTCTAGAAAAACACCAAGATTATATATCCTTTAATACCTTGTACATATATAATACATTGTTAAATACAATTGCTAGCCTGCTCAGCCCATACAACAGCCCCAACACTATATCTTCGTTGCTTTTTTGCCCAATAATTATGTCATGTCTATGTCGATGAACTATACCATTTTTGTCCGTAACCCGAAATCGTAGATCCGCCACTGCCCAATAGTACGTGCACGCACTATGAACTTCATTTCAGATCGTGGATTCGCCACTGCTCCCATATAACAAGAGCCGACGATTACTCGAATTTTCGTGGTGACTATGTGATGAGCTAGTTAATAGAGCACCAAAATGGTCTCCACTGTATATACGCTCGCGAATATCCGTCAAACAAAATGGCGTGCATAAAAGGAAAACAAATGCCTGGCCTTTTTTTTTACCAACAAAACTGGGAATAGCTGATTAGCTGTGTGTCCTGCAAAAGCAAAAACCGCGTAGTACGTCGCAAATGGGGCAACGAAATACCCAAATTCCAGCAAAATTCTGGCTCCAATCCACACGAGCACCAAATCTTCCGTTTCTTTAGTTCAATTACCAAATCTCCGCTTCGATTTGTTTTTACCAAATCTTCAGAACCCAGGTTAATAACGAGACCAGTTACATCCTCTCCCTCTCTCTCACACGCATGCTTCAGTGAATGCTGGATGCGACCAAACTTAACGACTCCAGCGTCAGCAGCAAATCTCCAGGCCGCGCTAATAAATACTCTCTCGCCATTAGCATTAAGCAGCAGCAGCAGCCCGCCGGCACGAAACCGAAGCGCTCGCCGACCCACCCACCGCACCGATCCCCCACCCAAATCGCCGACCGAGAGGAGACAACCCGAGCTGAGGAGAGAGAGGGCAGCAGGCGGCGGCGCGGAGTAACACGCGGAGGGGAATGCGCGACCCGTGCGAGCCTCTCGCCCCCGCGAAATCCCACCGGTTCTGATTCCGCCAGCGAAATCGGGCGCCTCGCGGCCCGGCCGGCCAACGGGCAAGTAAGTGGTGGACGGCGGCGTCGAGGGGTTCGTTCGAGACGGTGACGGTGAGGCCGTGAGGAGCAGCAGCCACGGCGACGGGGACGATGAAGGGAGGGGGCGGGAAGGAGACGCTCACCGCCTCCTTCCTCCGCTTCCTCCTCCTGCTCCTCCTCCCCCTCACCGCCCTCTACTTCTTCTACACGCTGCACCTCCTCCTCACCTCCGCGTCGTCGGCCGCCTCCAACTGCGCGCCTGACGCCGCGTCGGTCTCCCGGGCGTCCGCCAACCTCACGGCGGCGGCGGAGAAGCAGCTGCCCCCTTCCGCCGCGGCTGTGTCCACGGCGACGACGCTGCAGCACGTGGTGTTCGGCATCGCGGCGTCGTCGCGGTTCTGGGACAAGCGTAAGGAGTACATCAAGGTGTGGTGGCGCCCGCGCGGCGCCATGCGGGGCTACGTGTGGCTGGACCGCGAGGTGCGCGAGTCCAATATGTCCACGGCGCGCACGGGGCTCCCGGCCATCAGGATCTCGTCCGACACCTCGGCGTTCCCCTACACGCACCGCCGCGGCCACCGCTCCGCCATCCGCATCTCCCGCATCGTCTCCGAGACGTTCCGCCTAGGCCTCCCCGGCGTGCGCTGGTTCGTCATGGGCGACGACGACACCGTCTTCTTCCCGGACAACCTCCTCACCGTGCTCAACAAGTTCGACCACCGGCAGCCCTACTACATCGGCTCCCTCTCCGAGAGCCACCTGCAGAACATCTACTTCTCCTACGGCATGGCGTACGGCGGCGGCGGCTTCGCCATCAGCCGCCCCCTGGCCGAGGCGCTCGCGCGGATGCAGGACGGCTGCCTCCGCCGGTATCCGGCGCTGTACGGCAGCGATGACCGGATCCAGGCGTGCATGGCGGAGCTGGGCGTGCCGCTGACCAAGCACCCGGGTTTCCACCAGTACGACGTGTACGGCGACCTCCTGGGCCTCCTGGCGTCCCACCCGGTGGCGCCGATCGTGACGCTGCACCACCTCGACGTCGTAAAGCCGCTGTTCCCGGACGCGAGGTCGCGCCCCGCGGCGGTGCGGCGGCTGTTCGACGGGCCGGTGAAGCTGGACACGGCGGGGCTGATGCAGCAGTCCATCTGCTACGACGGCGCCAACCGTTGGACGGTGTCCGTGGCGTGGGGGTTCACGGTGCTGGTGGCTAGGGGCATAATGTCGCCGCGGGAGATGGAGATGCCGGCGCGCACCTTCCTCAACTGGTACCGCCGCGCTGACTACACGGCGTACGCGTTCAACACGAGGCCTCTTGCGCGCAGCCCGTGCCAGAAGCCCGCCGTGTACTACCTATCGTCGGCGCGGCGCCAGGCCGGGCGCGGCGGGGAGACCACGGTGACGCGGTACGAGCGGTGGCGCCACCCGAACGAGACGCGGCCCGCGTGCCGGTGGGACATAGCCGACCCGGACGCGCATCTCGATCACATCGTCGTCCTGAAGAAGCCTGACCCTGGGCTCTGGGACAGGGTAATCTTTCGTGCCACACCATTCCTTTTTCTTCTCTTGCATTGCATCCAAATAACTGCAACACATGATGCATTGCCATTTTGAGAGGACAAACAACTGGCCAAAGCACAAACTGGCTGGCATTGCTGGACATAAGCCAAACTCTTTTAAAGCACGGAATCAACAAAACCGTGCCGTAGACCGGTAGTACGCAGCCAGCTACTCCGTAAGAGGCAATCTTATATATAAGACAAAAAAAAAAAACAGAGTTTGCAATGCCAAGATGACTTTTACATAAATCTGATAGAGCCGATAGAAAAAGCTGGACCTGGGTACTAGGTTAGGCAACTCCCGATGCTTCATTTTATATAAAATGTGTCACCGATGCGATGTAACATGATTTGCAGTCCCCCAGGCGAAATTGCTGCAGAGTGGTGTCTTCGCCCAAGGATGGGGAGAAGACGATGACCATCGATGTAGGCGTATGCAGGGAAGGCGAGTTCAGCCAAGTAGCAGGAGCATGAGCTTTCATTAGAGACAGATGAAGATAGGAAGATTCAAATTCTTTTCTTCTTTTTTTCTTGTACGAATCCATTCTTCTTCTTGGAGGGCATGAACTAGTCTCGTTTCAAACATCTCTTCTCCATCGCGCTTTGCGCCTCACGGACGTGTAGGTGTAACTCCAGCTCGCAAAGCGCCACAAGGCCAGGACTCGAAGTTTTGGCCGGGCGTTCCGCCATGGCGACGCCGAGTCCACCCGCTGCCCGCCTGCCCCCACGCCCAACGGCTACGGTGGTGGTCTACGCATTGCTGTTAGACTTGACGGAGACGTGGCACGGGCGCACGGCACCGGCACGGGGTCAGGTCAGTGAGACAGGGTCACTGTGAGCCTGTGTAGCAGGCTCGCTGCACTGCGGTGGGGCTATTGTCGAAGCGTGGCTCGGCATCTGCTCGAGCAGGGCAGCCATCATTCATCATCTCAGGACATGGCGTGGAGTGGTACACAGAAATCTGTCCTGGTCTGGGCCTGTGGCCCGTGGGGTCGGTACCGCTAGTGTAGATCGTAAGTTTTTTTACGCAGTTTTTACACGGACACACGGTTGCCTTGGTGGCCAAATATAGACGCCGCGGCAATCGTGTTCGATAGTAAATTTCGGCGTTCTGGCGAAATGGGCAACCGCATTTATCGGCTCCATGCTTAAGATCAGGGTTCTGTCTTTACTCATTCTCTACACTATATTAATACAGGTCATTGAAATCAGATCCGCCGCGTGTCCATTTCTGCTTCGTTTCGACAAATCTCGGTACCGCCAGTGTGCGCCTCAGGTGTTGTAAATGCTCATTGATGGCATCCTCAACAGCGTGTTCGTCTTTTTTTTTCGCGTTCGCATGCCGCCGCAGGAGGCGGCTCCATGCTTCATTTCATAAGATCAGGGGCCTTGTTTAGTTTCACGAAATTTGGAAATTTATGTTCATTGACTGCCCCCAAACTTTTCAGTTTGTTAACGCTCATTGATGGCAACCCCAACAGGTGGCAGCGTTACAACGCGCCATGCGACGGTCTGTTCGCCGCATGCCGCGCAGGTTGCACGCAGCAGGTACAGTATTTTTTATGTTTTTTCGAAAGCAAAGCTGGATTCAGCATATGCATATGCACATGGGCAGTAAGAAAGATGTTTAAATGCCGACGTCCTAATCTCTTTTTACGTGAAAACTTTTTGCTAATCTTATAATTCCTTGTTTTCAAAGCAAAGCTTTAATTCAGCATATTTTTTCTATGGCACAAATCACAGGAAAAGGATGTTTCCATGCCGACTTCCTAATCTCGTACTACGTGATATAGGGAAAAAAATATATAGCCTCACCGACTATTTTATGCAGACGGGGCGTGTCAATTTCAGTATTCCTGCCGTTGCGTTTGCGGGCATGCAAGCAGAATCAGAAAACCAGAAGCCTCCGCTGCCGTAGTGCCGTATGAATCTATGAGACTGACATTGGTTCCAAACTGCCAATAGTATCATGCACTCCTATCTATCAACCTCGCTTTGAAAGTTGAACCACACTTACACTTTGTTAGCTCATGGAAACGATCCCCTTTATTCCTTTATGCAGGCAATGCCACTAGTTCGCAGAGATTTTGTTTGATCTAATCCCTTTATTCCTACTTGCAGACTGAATTCCCCAATACCCGTACTTAGGCCTCGTTTAGTTTCTCCCTCTAAAGTTTAAATCCCCAATGAACATGCATATAATGCCATTAAATATGGCTAAAATAACTTTTGTTATATTAAACTAATCCCTTTATTCCTTTTTGCAGACTTAATCAATTCCCCAATACTAATTTGCGAGCTGAAAATATTCTTGTTTAGTTTTTCAACCAAAAGTTTAGTCCTGCGTATCCCAATCACGGTATTAAATATGTCCCGCATTATCTAAACACAAAACTGAGGAGCACTGCGACCACGCCTCATATTTTGTGTGAAGCCCTTTTTAGTTCTAAAATTTGAATTTTAGGGTTTCTTTGAATACATTCGTTTTATTTGACAAATAAGTTTCAAACATGAACTATTAGGCTCTCAAAACGTTCGTCGGATTAATTGCAATTACTTTTTCTAAATTTAATGCTCTGGATTACCGAGAATTTCTGTTCGAATTTGTTTTATTATTACTATCCTAAATTTGGGGTGGAACTAAACAAGGCGTAAGATGATACCCGTGCCGGCATAGTGAGTTCCGAGAATTAAAGAAAAAGTGAAAGTAGAACAGTAGAAACATGCTGATCATGGCAGGCTGGCAGTACTCTACGTTCAGCAAGGTAAAACAGCGTAAAAACTATCCTGGGGGCATGCAAGTCCTCAGAAATGGACTGTCAAACACCAATTGCTTCGACTTCGAGATGGTCGACTATCAGGCTAGACATGTCAAACACTTGAAATTCGAGGTTAAAACCCAATATTTCACAGAAATGAGCAGTAATCCACTCACGGCTCATCCACACGGCCCGCAGAGATAACGAAGCTCCCCAGAAACGGATCCAAGCACCAACCAAAACGGAAGACCACAAAAGGGAGCTGGGCCTTAGTTCCAAAGGAAAGGCAGTAACAACTGATGTCTTTACCTTCGCACCTGTAAGCAAAACTCCTAGGTGTCGTCTGTATGTATAGTTCTAGACTTCTGCAGGCTAAAGGTATTTACCTGCGAATGAATGCAATCCCTCGTCAAAAAAGTGAGAAAGTGAAGATATACACGAAAAGTTGGTACTGATTAATCAAAGCTTCGAGACGAATATGCCTAACATGCAAGGAAGTCTTTAGCATGCAGGTTACAATGAACCAACAAGCAAAACTGTTCAATAGCAGTTGCAGAAGTTTGTGAGAATTAGGAAAACCATAAACCATACGATGCTCTCATGGTTTGGCATAAACTTTAACTGAAAAAAGTACTTAACCTAGGGACCAAAGAAGAAACGTTACATGTAACTTAACTTGATACAGCTTACAGTTTCATGGATTTTAGCATAGCAGTTATGCATCTACAAGTTAAAAGAGCCAAATATTGATGTACTTACCCTACTTAAAAGTCCCAGAAGCGTGAATTAACAACACTGCATGGTGCTTCCCAATTCAATGCCATGTGACTTGATAATCCTGGCAGCTCCCAAAAGAATTTCTTGTTGGGCAGATAGCCACTCATCTTTTCTCTGTAAAACATACAGAATATTGTGTCAGGCTTCAAAGAGAAAAGGACTTCCAAACTTGCAGTGAGTTAATAGTAACAAGCTAGCATAGTTTTATGCACAAGACTACCATTGTCATGATAACCAACAGTGACAAGTCATACTCCCTATGATGCAAAACAAGTGTGTTCCAAGAACGTGTTTAGTTAAACAATTTTAACTTCAAACATAATTATTTTTATGAGAACAACATACTAAAGTGACATGTGTAATAATACTTTTCATATTGTCTTAACTTTTGACACGTGCTTAAGGAGGTAAGATGACAGACCATAAACCCATGCTAACACGGCACTATAAATCCACTAGGAGTAAATAGGTACAGCAGCATAACTTTAGAATAAATCAAACATACAATGTTTTTTAGGTTGCATCCAATGGTGAGCTCTCCATATGAACTTTCCAATCTCGAGAGATAGCAGTAAGGAACATCACTATCAAAGGACACATTTTGATTAGACCTTAACATATTCTTTATCTCCTCTGATGCAGAAGGAACCTTCTCAATATCCTCAATTCGTATAGGAATCTTTGTCACGCTAGCTCGCCAATTAGCTCGTGATCTGTTAACTATCATCTGCAAGTTATTTAGAATACCGTGTCATTATACAAGGTATGCCCCCCTACCAATCATGCCAAAGAACAAGGGACACAGCAGAACAAATCCTCATGGCATCATTCCGCCAAAGATTTGGTGCACAAGGGACAGCAGCAGAACAAATCCTCATGGCATCATTCCTCGGTTTATTCATGTACTACTTATTTGATTTGGTTTCATGCCCGGAAGGTCAACCATGGAAGCCATTTTCTTAATAAAACAAGTTATGGAGCGGTATAGGGAGAAGAAGAAGGACCTACACATGGTTTTTATTGACTTGGAAAATGCTTATGATAAAATACCAAGGAATGTTATGTGGTGGGCTTTGGACAAACATAAAGTTCCAACGAAGTACGTCGGGCTCATTAAGGACATGTACAATAATGTTGTGACTAGAGTTCGAACAAGTGATGGAGACACGGATGACTTCCCGATTAGGATAGGACTACATCAAGGGTCAACTTTGAGCCCTTATTTGTTTGCCTTAGTGATGGATGAGGTCACAAGGGACATACAAGGGGACATCCCTTGGTGTATGCTTTTCGCGGACGATGTAGTGCTAGTTGATGAAAGCCGGACATGAGTGAATCAAATATTGGAGTTATGACGGGAGACTTTGGAGTCTAAAGGTTTTAGACTCAGTAGAACTAAAACTGAGTATATGAGATGTGACTTCGGCACTACTACTCGGGAGGAGGAAGATATTGGTTTGGAAGATCAAGTAGTGCCTAGGAAGGATACCTTTCGATAGTTAGGATCAATGCTACAGAGAGACGGGGATATTGATGAAGATGTTAGCCATAGAATCAAAGCAGAGTGGATGAAGTGGCATCTGGTGTCCTATGTGACAAAAGGGTACCACAGAAGCTGATTAGACCTGCTATGTTGTATGATGCAAAATGTTGGCCTACGAAAAGACGACATGTTCAACAGATAAGTGTCGCGGAAATGCGTATGTTGCGTTGGATTTGCGGTCATACAAGAAGGGATCGAGTTCGGAACGATGATATACGTGATAGATTAGGGGTAGCACCAATTGAAGAAAAGCTTGTTCAACACCGGTTGAGATGGTTTGGACATGTCCAACGGAGACCTCCTGAGGCACCAGTGCGTAATGGAATCCTAAGCCAGGATAGTAACGTGAAGAGAGGCAAAGGAAGACCGAAGTTGACGTGGGTAGATGCAATAAAAGGAGACTTGAAAGAATAGAATATACCCAAAGACTTAGCCTTAGATATGAGTGCTTGAAAGACAGCTATTCACGTGCCTGAACCTTGATTGCTTCTGCTGGGTTTCAACTCTAGCCTACCCCAACTTATTTGGGACTTAAAGGCTTTGTTGTTGTTGTGAATGAATTTCCAGAAATTTTTCAATCAACAGAAAAGCATTTGACGCAATGTTTATGTTTCCTCAAACTTCCACTAGAAAAAAACTTTCCAAATATTTCAAAGAATATAAAATCATAAATCATACAAAATTCATATGCTGTTGTGCATTCCAATTTGGAGTGGCTTTAGCTGTCGTGCATTCCAAGTTTCCAACTAGAAGTCTAAAATCAACAACAACAAAAAAAACAAAGCCTTAAATTCAAATTTAGGGTAGGCTAAAACCAAAGAGAGAATGTGAGTGGCTTTTTCCAAGCACTCCTATCTAAGGCTATTATTTGGGTCAATTCCATCCTTTCATTCATGAACCATTCAAGCTCCTTTTAGCCTCTACCCAATCAACTTAAACAGATGCATATGCTGGAGTATCCTACCTTAGCCTGTTTGCTTGGTTCCTGACCAGCATCTCTGCCTTAGGATTCCAACTAGAAGTCTAAAATCAGTTTCCAAAAAAATCTAAATTCAAATTTAACTAGGAAAAAGAATGTGAGTGGATTTTGCAGTTAAAACGATTCATGAACCATGGAGCAAATCATTAAACAGATGCATATGCTGGAGTAAGGGCCTGTTTGCTGGTTCTGACCAGCACTGCCTGGCCAGGCAGTTGCTCTGGAACGCCTGCAGCTGGATTCCGGTTCCATCCAAACATGCTCTAAAAGTGTGCACATTTGGGGTCCCGTTTGTGGTCTTATAGTGATTACTGTATTAACTCAATAAATTCAGGGGCCAATAACCCAAGTAGGGTAAGTCCATGTTTTCTTCATTGCATGATATATTATATATACAAGATAATGCACACAGCAAAATTACGATATGAAAATGCACGCATGTAAAAATGGCGTAACAAATATGTGTTACTGTATATTCCATAACTTGTAAGCCACCATGTAGGAACAACACAAAGGACTAATTTGTAGATGACAGCATGTGCAATGACGGGCATCTTTGTCCACACACATGTTAGTTTAAGAAATATCCAGTAACAGAAACGGTTACCATACCTGACTGGAGAACAAAGAGTTGGGTACTATGACAGGGAGCTTCTCTGGATTGATCAATGACGTAGAAGTGAGTCCAATTTCAACCACCTTACCTTCTATTGGCCCCGCCTAAAATGTAAAACTCCTATTAACAACTGCGAGACTGCAACTTCAGAACATAGTGAGAACATAAAAAGGGATGGAAAATAAGTATCACCAGTCCAAATTGACCATTTATTATTGTTTGCAAACACAAGAGGGAAGGATGGTGTTTCTTGAAATTTCTCGTGCATATAGACTAACATGTGCTCAAAGCATAAACACATGAGAAGCATTAATCAAACTAGCAATTTAGGAAAAGCATACAGCATCCTGTATGCCCACAATTATATGGATAGTTCCCCACGTCTATGTTTTCTTCTTATAAAGCCACTTAAGAACCATCAGTGGCATCCATTAGGTTGAGACATCTTTATGAATTTTCAGTTTGGATGCTTACTAACTGTGCTTTTATCTCAGTACAAACTGAATTACAGTTTACATAATCCTCCAAGCAAAGTATGTTTTAAGATGACCACATCCTAGCAACGAGCAATGGCTTATCCTGAAATCAGGATATCATTCCGTTGACTAGTAATGTTCCTTCTTTTCTCATCCATTACAAATTACAACACATCTTTTTACTCCAGTATCCCACAAGTAATTGCTTGAGAATCTCACAGTACTTGCGAGTCATGGCACAAATTATCATCTATCATGAAACAAGAATTTAATATTTTATCCATAGTTCCACAGTGTCCGCAAGTGAAATGAATGAAATTTCGAACTTATGAATCCATCGTTTCAGCAAGTGTCAAATAAGAAAACATCAAATAAATATGAAGGCACCTTTATGTAGTCGTTGACTGAGAATGGCTTAGAAAATTGCAAGGAGAACCCACTCAGAATGTTACCAAGGACATCTCTAGCAGCAAAAGCAGTAGCAACACCTAAAGTATAAGAAACACACGATAATTTCAGTACTGTTAAAAATATAAAAGTATATCTACTTCAGTAAAAAAGTAATAGGTATAATTATACAGAGCAGTCAGCGTACATATAATATTACTTGCAGGCTGCTGAACAAAAAAATTCAAACCACTATTTTTGCATTTTGCCCATATAGCTATATAGGAGTCAAAACTCAGTCCAGACATAACTACTACTGTTTTCCTTCTGCAGTAACTAATTGCAATACTGTAATAGGGAAGAAAACAAAAGGATCATTTGCTTAAAAATGTACTGTACTCTAGTAAGAGATTCTTTCAGAAACAAGGGCAACACAAGTACAATACTTCCCTGAGCACAACGTTTTTTTTTTCTCGACTAATGCAGGAGAGTTGCGTGTCATTTCATTAAGAAAAAAAATAGTACGAGAGACCAAGAGGCCTCTCCATGACCCAACCCCTTACAATACATTAGCACCTATTACAAAAATGAAATATAAAACGACCTCGGCCAAAAGACATCTCAGGACAGAAGGTCCGGGGGAGCAACCTCCAGAGAGCACCAAAGTTCATCTCCCACTTCCGTGAGCACCGCCTGCACACAGCTAGCTCCTTAGGGCTCCAGCAGAGCACCAAAGGACACATTCATCTCCCCCTACTTCAGGCAATGCGAGGAGACGCGACTTGAACCCGGGACCTTCTGGTCACAGGCGGTAAGACTCTACCGCTTGCACTAGGCCCGCCCTTCACGAGCTAGCTCCTTCAAAGACACAAAAATTCCTATGTTCCAAAATTTCCCAGGCTACCAGAATGATCAAAGATTGAGTCTTTTTCTCAAGACTCTAGGTAGCCCCATGATAGCATTGCACCACCAACTAGAGAAACAAGAGACATAAGGTTCAGGCGCTAAAGCAATTAGACCCAGCCTCTGGAAGATGACTGCCCAAACCTGCCTTCAAATAATGCAAAGAGACGAGCGTGTGCTGAATTGTTTCATCCATTTGATCACAGAGGGCGCAGGCTGCCAGATGTGGTAGCCCTCTCTTAGCAAGGCAATCAGCTGTCCAACATCTGTTGTCAATAGCAAGCCAAATGAAGAACTCGCAGCGCAGCGGGTACCAACTTTTCCAGATGCGTTTCCAAGGTGCAAATCTGATAGTCCCCATGCACAACATTAACGTATCGAGCTATTTACATTTCATGTGTTCTAAGTTGAAAAGATCTAGGAATTATTTAGTGTAACAAAATCCTGAATTCTTGATTTACCAATGCAGGCAGTGAAATGGGCACACTTTTGGATGGAAGAGCAGAGATATAGCTAAATTCCAGCGGTAAATAAGGAATTTACTTGTGAAAGTTAGTATATTACCTCCCACACCACCAACAGTTAATATAGATTGAACAGCTACACCACAAGCTTCAGCAAGACCCATTACTCCTAGTCCAATCAGTCCCAATGAAGAAACCTTATCAAATGCTGAAATCCTGTCGCGGTCAACACTTGAGGCATCTGGTTTAGCCATAGCTTTAGCAATGAAGTTGGTTTTCCACCTCTGAAGGAACCATACAAAAGACAGAACAAATGCACCCCTCCATGCCTGCGGAAGATAAGTTGATATGCTTGGTGCAATAAGTGTGGCCCTATGGAAGAGAACCACCACAAATATAAGCATACAGAATACAAAATTATATGTGACACTTTTTCACCAGACCATAATTACTAACACCATGGTAGAGAAAAAAAAAGCATTTTGTGCTCCGGCATGGCAGCATTAATAAACAAACAAGAATCAACAAGGTAAAAAAAGCAATGTATATTGTGATGGAACTTAGACAACATTGAAGAAACATCGATATTCGAAATGCTTATTCTAGTAAGTAGTAGTTGCATATCTCTAGTTTCTTCAAACAACAACAACAACAACAACATAGCCTTTCAGTCCCAAGTAAGTTGGGGTAGGCTAGAGTTGAAACCCACCAAGATCCCCAAGTCATGGTTCAGGCACTTCAATAGATGTTTTCCAAGTACTCATATTCAAACATAGATCTTTAGGGATATCCCAAGCTTTCAAATCTCTTTTTATTGCCTTCCCCCATGTCAATTTCGGTCTTCCTCTACCTCTCCTCATATTATTAGCTTGGCTTAGGATTCCACAATGCACTGATGCCTCTGGAGGTCTCCTTTGGACATGGCCAAACCACCTCAACCGATGTTGCAGAAAAGAACAAAATGACTGCAGCAGTACTCAAACCACTATAAGTTTTTTTTTAAAATAAGATATGAGACATTCAACTAGCTCTAAAAAGCTAATGTCTGAAGAAAATATCTTTAGCACAGAACACAACTATCAGAAGTTCAGGACACAGAAAAGATAAATTTCTTTCATAAAGTTAAGTAGAAACCTACATTTCTGAAAATGCCATGAATGTGATAAGATATTTTGCAGGATCCTCTAATGCACACCAGAGACTAGTTTGGTACGAAACATCATTCTTGGTTGAGTTCCCCAGAAGTGCTGCTATAGGACGTTGTGATGCATACTTGTGAAGCCTCCTTAGAATGATAGGCATGACCAACCATGCCATCATTGTACCACATAGTGTTCCGCCAAGTGGAAGAACTACCTTTTCAAGATTTGGATATGTATCAAATAGCTGCTGGACATGAGGTGCAACTGCATCAGTCAGCTCCTTGACTTTCTTGCCTGCATCAGTGGTAGCATCTACAGTAGACTTGCGAGCATTATCCAAGATCTCAATCCATGAACCCCCACCACCACCTGCAGTGCCAACCTCAGAGCTTTCTGTAGAAGGAAGATTAGAGACAGCACTCTGTGAAGCTTCTGGCTTGATTCCAGTATCTGAGGAGTATCCACGATGGAAGCTTGAAACACCTAAGAATCCTGGCAATGCACCATGTCTGGACTTTGAAGCAATCAACCAATTAGTGTCCATACGGCGTGAAAGGGGCAACCTTCTGATCTTTGACACATCATTAACTGCAGAATACCAATCCATCACCTTAATCTGGTTAGCAACAGAAAAGTCAGGTTTTCTTGAGTGCTTAGCGCCACTGCTGAACCACCTCACAGCACCAGAAGATACAGACGGGCCAAAATATGTCTCCATTAGAGTCTGACTAGCAGCTGATCGACATGACCGACGCCAAATTGTTGTGATCCCTGACATACTACTTTAGTACCAACTTGGCACGAATACTTCTGGGAAAAAAAAAGATGCCAGAAAATTCTTTTCCTGAAATGTGATAATCAAATTAATATGCAAGTTTCACAGGCCCACATAACGAAAGCGTTAATATGGTTCAGATGTTTTTCTTTTCGTACAAATGAAATTTATGCTAGAAAATGAGGATAATATCAGAATTGTTAGCAATGATGGCAAACAAAGGATGAACCATATCTCCTTATCACTTAATTTTTCACTATCCTTATAAATACCTATAGAAGCATACACCTGAAATTTCCTCTAATGGCAATTGCACTTGAGCACTTCCATGGATCCAAAGACGCCAAGCTGATAAACTAAGGGATGCAAAATCTGGCTACACAAATTTCAAATCAAATGTTCTTCCATCTGCTTCAGGAAATAACCAGGGTGTCAACTACTGCAATATAACAACAGATTCTGTGGTTGGCATCCTAAAACTGGATTTTAACTTCTACTGAGCTAACACAAAAAATAACTACCACACCAAGTGCCTGGAGACAAAACTACAAAGGGAAACCACCACAATTCCATTCAGCTGCAAAACGAAAACATCACCCAAAAGTTTATAGGTTCAAACAGCATACCCATCACGCCCAGCATACAGAACAGCGACCGCTCCAGCTGCTAAGCAGCAGGGACTAGTGCCGCCAGCCCGCCACCCCAGCCACTCAGGGGCGGACCCAGTAAAGCGACATTGATGTGTACACCCGATAGCTTTTGCATAAAGTTCTACGCTAGTAGGTATCATCAATCAAAGGAAATAGCCAAATAGCTTTTAAGTTAGGGTTTGGGTGCTCGGTTTCGCACGCAGGAAGGGAGCAGAAGGGGTGGGAATACCTGGTGAGTGCTCGTCGCCGGTGAAAAGACCGACGAAGGCCTCGCCACCTGGCGTAGTGTGGTGGAGGCGGCGGAGGCCCAGAGAGAGGGGGTGGGTGGCGGAAGAGAGAGAGAGAGAGAGAGAGAGAGAGCGCACGCAGGTCGCGGCCCCGCGGGGTAAACCGTGATTCCGTGAACGCATCCGTGTGGAGTCGTGGCCTCGTGGGGAGAAACACTCCCACGCGGGCCTGCGGCAGACGGCGGTAGCCCAGTCCGGCGTTGTTCGGTCCAGGACTCCAGGGAGAGGTAGTCGCACGGGCCTTCTCGTGGGCCGTTCTGTTCACGCATTTCTTTTGTAATTTTTTTCGTAAAAGAAAAGATCCGTTCTATACCTCATTAAATCTATCTGTCCTATAAAAAGAGTGAAGGAATTGAAAAATACCAGTTACCTAAAAATTCCTACCCACCCTATGTTTTAACCCTTAGATGTGATTTGAGATCTTGATCCGAGGGATAATAAACGTTGTTACCTTCTAACAAGTGGGTCACATCTTACAAAACGTAAGATTTATACAATTCCATCGTCGCGTTGTTTTTTTTCGCCGAGACAATTTTATACCCGCACGCACCCACACCCGAACGATCACGGAGTCTTTCACCCAGACAGAATTCTACCCGAGACTAAATTGTTGTGATCCCTGACATAGTACTTTAGTACCAACTTGACACGAATACTTATGGGAAAAAAAAGATGCCAGAAAATTCTTTTCCTCAAATGTGAAATCAAACTACGGCGTGTTCAGCTGGCTTAAAGCCAGCCGGCTAGCTTGTTTTTCCTCTCAGACACGAATACTTATGGGGAAAAAAGATGCCAGAAAATTCTCTTTCCAACCGAAATGTGAAATCAAACTAATATGCAATATGCAAGTATTTTCGTTCCCATGCCTCTGAGGAGTAGTAATTGTCATCATCCCTGTATGATTTTTCAAAGAACAAACATGAGAAGAAAATGTCAGGCATTCAGGAAAAGGACTGTACAGTTCGAGCTTCAATCAAAATTTAGAGGAAGGAGTTGCCATACTTGCTAGTCCATTGACGGGTTTGATTTGCTCGGTCTTGGTTGCACTCTGCACCAGAAACCTCGCTGCGTCCCTCATCTGATCGCAACTCTGCAGCCTGTACACTGTAGTCTTCAGATGAAGAAACAAAAACTTTAGTTTCTCCAAACATGTTAAACAAGTAAGTTTGCTATTCAATAACCTTTCACTGTACAGATAAATTCTTCCCATTCAGGTTTGTAATGCACTTAGACATAGTTTGCATGTTGCACAATTACTCTATTTCTATTTGATTAATATTCTTCCTACGTTTGAATCATGTTCAGTTAGCTCATATTACCGGTTGTTCAATCGCATAACCTGAGAAGTGCTTGGCTCCTCGATCTTGGGATTCTACATATTAAATATGGCAACGCAACCCATGAAGCCATGAAAAGGATTACTGAATCGAATTAGTTTCTGGAATATATTGTCCTACGCATCCGATCCACGTTTTTGTAGCTAAACAGTAAACAGAGAAGGTGATTTTCATAGAAATGCCAACAGAGCAATCCCTGTGTTTCTGCTCCAGTTTGCAAGCTAGACGATCCGTGAAAGCCTTTTCTGCCTCCAGCACAGTTCAGAAATAGACAAAATGATTTATTCAAGCAACGATGAAACACGGTGGCGGGACAAGCTCGCGTCTTATTCCTGGTCACCTGATAGAATGGAGGATGAAACGAGAAACAGAGATCCCGAAGGTCAGCAAGACGTACCTTGAATCTCGCTGAGCGGCTAACTCACGAGAAGGATGGTGGCCTCGGAGAAGAAGAGATCAGACACGCTGCTTGGCTCGGCCGCTGTGACAGAACCGTTCAATTTATAAAAGTATAAGTACAATAGTAATCATCGAAGTGATCAAACCGTCATACTTGAGCCCATATAAACCCGGTAGTCCAACGAAATCACGAAAGATCTCAAACAACCAACATACAAACCAAGATCGTAGAGATTCAACACAACCAGTCACATGTTACATCACAGTTCACAAATAGGTCTCATACACCAGAGTTCGAATAATTATTACAAACCAAGTTTGAAAGTAGCGGAAGCAAAGTAGTTTAACATCAACATCACACGTAGTTTAATATAAAGCCAGTGTCATAGTCATCTCCAACCAAAAGCACAAATGTGAGATGAAATACAGAATGACCATTGCTCATAGTCCTAGTCCTCATCCACAGCAGGAGCAAGACAGTTCTTGCAGTAGCCATGAAACATAACGTTATCTGCAACAAAGGGAATAAAACCCTGAATACGAGAAGGTACTCAGCGAGACTTATCCGTCCAACTAATATACTAAGACACCAAGGAGTATGCAAGGCTTTATAAGTAGAGCTGGTAGACATTATTTGCAGAAAAAGCATAAGTTATCCAACATCTCTTTAATTGAAAATCACCAGTTATTAATCCTGTCTCATACTAGATTAGCAACTATCCTATGCCAAACATGTTGATACCATTAATTCATCACAATAATAACCATATCCAGTTGAGTTCTTGCATGATCTCATAACCATCATTTTCATCATTTCCATAACTTACTACGATGAAAGGAACTCAAGTCAAGTTCTCACTATCCGGGAGAGACGGCGATTCGAATCGATTCCTACCCAGCTGGGGAAATATTCCTAACACACACCCAGGCATGCCTCGCGAAGGTAGCCTTAGGTCACCTTTGGTACAAATCAGGAACCAAATTCGCGGGTACGACCAGCGCCGCACAATCAGAGAATCACTCTGCCAAGGGTGATCGGGACTCTAACCCGCCTTTGGGCTTACGCCAATGGCTCTCCGTACATCCATACTACCATCCATAGTGCGCACTTGAACTGCTCGTGGTCCCGGCCTGAGATGAGCTACTCGGCTTCGTGGTCGGAATGACTTATCCAACCAACTATGTGAGAGGCTGCGTTCAACATGACAAGATGACCTCCAACGTCCGGTCCTTAAACGACACAGGTGGAGTCACTACAATACCACATATAAGACTCCACCCGGTCTCTATTTATTCAACAATACCAGGTTATGTTCCACGATAGCACAATATAGCCAACCGTGATTAAGTTATCACCTATAGCTCGCAGGTGACAGGGAATCACCCGACTTCTACCGGTCTAAGCAGAGCTAAGCATGATAAACGTTCCTGGACTTAAATAGGATTCATGGTAGATATATCTGGTCAAGGAATGGTAGTATGCAACAAGTGTTTACAAACAACTCCTGTCACGTAATGCAGCAATACGAATAACTTTAAGTGACATTAATAAAATAGGGAGACTTATAATGCTCCGGGGCTTGCCTTTCACAAACGTCGAAGGCTGGTGATCGGGGCACTCGGGAAGGTGATCGGCTTCAGGCTCTCCTTCACCGGGAACCTCCAGGTGCTGAACTTCCTGATTCTCCTCCTGCGGGTCGACGTCGAGCTCCACTAGCGTGATCTCCTCGGTTGCACCTATTGCATGCATATGCATAAATAAGTGCCATGAATGCATAAGATGGATCACGGAGGATGTGATAACAGAATGTACATGCTGTGACAATGATATTAAGTAGCAAAATGATAACAATGCTAACTCCTTATTTGCCTAGTAGGTGCATATCTCTTCTCTAGTTATTTACAAATTTCACATCAAGCAATATCTAAGTTACACATGACAGTTACAAGTTTATATCATAACTGAAGTTACACTTATCCAAATGCTGTGATCTTAGACTTTCTGAAAAGCTTATAAAATTGTCTACAACTCTTATTTACTCACCAAAAGCTGAATCACAATCTATCCTAGACAAAATAGGAAATCTATGCAGTGTTGTCTAGAAATTCCAGAGAACAAGCAATTCAAAAAAAAACTAACTTTAAACCGATAGAACTCCTAAACCCTTTGACCTATTTACCTAAAATTTTAACACAAGATAGATGAAGAAGTTACCTACAACTTTGTTATTAACCATTTCTACAGAAAACATCATTTCGACTATGCAACA